CGATACATGGGCCACGATACGATACATACCTCGATACACGGGCCACGATACGATACATACCTCGATACACGGGCCACGATACGATACATACCTCGATACACAGGCCACGATACGATACATACCTCGATACACGGGCCACGATACGATACATACCTCGATAGACGGGCCACGATACGATACATATCTCGATACACAGGCCACGATACGATACATATCTCGATACAGTGCACTTTCAGTTCGATATGATATATTTCAAATCGATTCGATACGGTTCAATAAAAAATAAAAGCTAAATCGTGACTGTGATATTAAAGTCTTTGTTAAACCACTTTTTGTGCAAAATTCATATGAAACACAAACATTTTAATCCTCAAAACAGAGTCAAAATATCAAATGTGTCGCATAAATGAGTTTCCTTTCACTCCACAAGCAACAAAACTGTAGGTCTGTAACAAAATAATTTAGTAAAATACTCTTGGTGATATATCGATACGGCAGCCCACGATATCGATACTGTATCACCACATTAAACGATACGATATATCGATATTCCGATATTTTTGCACACCCCTAGTGGTTACTGTTCCCTGGTTCGGGTCTTGGTGAAAGCTCAGACCACAGTTGATACAATATTATCAAAGGCCTTATTTTACACAAAACTGACTCTTGATGCTTCAAGTCGTTATAATGTTGTCACCTCCTCAAAAACAGACCTGGAGTCGTGTTTTGTTTCATTCACACATGTTTAAGTAAACCTTTATTATTAGTCTGTCTACATCTCTAAAACTCAAAAATGCTCTGTTCCAGTAGTAAACTCCATTTACCTTTTGTTTAGTCGAGATTGACAATTCCAGGGCTGAAATCATCCAAATGATTCTCCTAAAGCTGCATGGAGTTTAATCCTTCAAGACCTAAGAGGAATTTTAGCACATTTTTCCTCGCCTGGATAAAAAAAAAAAAAACTATTAAAACTCCCCCTTTTACTTTCTAATGAAGTGTTATACATCCTTTTTTCAGTACAACCTGTTATTTCACAATCTGCTGCTGTAGTTGTATCATGTGGCTGTAATAAAAGCTACAGGACCAGAAATACAAATGAAAAAAAAAAAAAAAACGGAAAATAAAATCCCTTTCTTTCATACAAAAGACACAGCAAACATGTATAAACTACTTTTTAGACATAAAAATAAAAATTCTGTCGCTGGAGAGTAGGGATGGGCATGATTAGTCAATTAATCGATAATTGATCATTAAGAATTTCATCGATTACGTTAATTTTAATCGACAAACCGAATGTAGGTTGCTGTGTGTATCGTGACCAAACAGGTGTGTACATGTGTCTCTCTGCATCAGAAGGAGCGAGACACAAACAGTGGGTCAGTCTGCAACGTACCGAAGCACAAATGTGTATTTAACGATGATTTGTACAAGAAATTCCACACTTTCCGTTGCGTTCGGGACAAGTGTGAGTCCATGTGCACAGTGTATAAAGCAGCACATATGTTTCTGTGTCCAGTGGGAAAAAGTTTTACCAGGTGAGAGTCGCTCAATGTGGATGACGAGTCCCCACCCCCCTCCCCCCGTACGGTGTCCTGGTTTTGACAAACGCAAATCTGGTCACACTAACCTGTATTCCACCTGAGTCATGTCTTTTAATCCGACAGAAATTGAACCACATCAGCGACACAAGAGCTGTAGTTTTATCTTCGCTTAGTTTATGCAAATTAGCGATGTGGTTTTAAGTTTTGTTTCTGTGAGAGTTGAACAAAACTGAATTAAACACATTATAATGTCAAACGGGCTGATGTGGCTCTAGAGTCGTTACGGTTTATATGTCGTAAAGTTGAATTTATTTATGCAGATTAGTAGTGCAGATAGTAATAATAATGATGATCATTTTAATATCAAAACGTTAATGATTAATCGATAATCGATCGTTAATTCTTCCGACGACCGATTAAGAAAATTTCATCGAATGCCCATCCCTACTGGAGAGAAATGAAATTGATCAGAGACACTAGGTTGCACTAGCCTGGCTATCAGATTCTAGTCGATGGATTGAAAGCGAGGATAGCGAGATAATGAATATTTGGGTGGATCGCTGTATTCGGGCATCTGAAATTGGTAGGTCTCTGGCGATTTTGTTTCAGTAAAGGTAAAGGTAGTTCACTGGAGAAAGGTTGGAGACCCCTGTACTAGGCAATGTGCCGAGTACAATGTGCGTATAAGACTACACCCAACACCCAGTCTCCCCTCCAAGTACCAACCAGACCCAAAGACCTGATCCGTGTGAACTCTTTCCCCCATGAAGACGACATTTGCGACCTCCCCTGTTTCCTTAATGACGTGTTTCGACACCTCCGCTGTTTCACTAAAGACGTGATTTGACGACCACTAGAAACGGTTCCTGTTTTTCACATGTAAACAGAGACTGTGATCGGGGGGGGCCACTTCAACCCACACTAGACTGACCAATAGGATTCAAGGATATGTTTTCACCAGTTTTTTCCAAAGTTCATCGAAGTTGTGACGATGGTAGCTTCCGGAAAAAACACAACACGAAACACGAGCGATGGAAAGATTGCGGTGCACAGTTTTAGAAATAATGAGGAGCAGATGTATTTTATGGATAAGTTTAGAGAAAGTGACTTATAGATTTCAAAGTGATGATGAAGTTGATTATAAAGTGGAAAACGGTGATAGCGACGGACTTTTGGAGAGTGAAACTTAAGAAGGGGAGAACGCCGGTGTCCAAACAAACTATCCGGGACTTTATACTCGATTATGAACCAAAATTGCCCTGAAATCTGGATGTTTCTCAGGTGAGTCCTTTGAAATATTCCAGTCTTTTTTTCCAAGATGCGACGTATGACAGAATCGCCACTGCTGGACACCCACTGACGGAGAAGAGTTTTATTATTAAATTATTATATTATTATATTATAAAAAGCTAAATGAGTTGAATAAGTTAAATGGAAAAAATGATTTAGGTCCACACAGGTGAACAACAGGTAAAAACAGGTGCACACTTTACTTTACTGTATCTGGTGATATGAAATCTGTTTAAATACTTTGACAAATTTATTTATTTTTTTACATTTTTTATGAATATAATACTCAGAACATGCAGATATCAGATGCTGAATGTAGTTTTTTTGTTTTTGATTTTGCACCTGAGCAGGTAAACTCTCATTTTCAGTGAGCTGTTATAAACCTGTAAATGAGTTGAATCACATTTAAACATCCAGAAATGAATAGTTCAGAGTCTAAGGTTTCCAGAGATACAAATATGTCTGTGTTACAATTAAGTTCATGAGTGTGAAAATCATTTATAATCACTCGTGGAAGTCTGTTTTCTTTTATGCAATTACGCTCTATTTGTAGCCCTAGACATACATGTACAGTGTTGGGGAGTAACAGATTACATGTACCGGAGTTATGTAATCTGTTGTTAATTTGACTCATTGCCAGACACTAAACCAGGTCTAAAACCAGGACTTAAACCAGGTCTAAACTAGGACTAAACCAGGACTAAAACCCGTCTAAAACCAGGTCTAAAACCAGGTCTTAAACCAGGTCTAAAACCAGGTCTAAAACCAGGTCTAAAACCAGGTCTAAAACCAGGTCTAAAACCAGTAAAACAGGACTAAACCAGGACTAAAACCCGTCTAAAACCAGGTCTAAAACCAGGTCTTAAACCAGGTCTAAACTAGGACTAAACCAGGACTAAAACCCGTCTAAAACCAGGTCTAAAACCAGGTCTAAAACCAGGTCTAAACTAGGACTAAACCACGACTAAAACCAGGTCCAAACCAGGACTAAAACCAGGTCTAAACCAGGTCTAAAACCAGGACTAAACCAGGACTAAACCAGGACTAAACCAGGACTAAACCAGGACTAAACCAGGTCTAAACCAGGTCTAAAACCAGGTCTAAAACCGGGTCTAAACCAGGTCTAAAACCAGGTCTAAAACCAGGTCTAAACTAGGACTAAACCAGGACTAAAACCCGTCTAAAACCAGGTCTAAAACCAGGTCTAAAACCAGGTCTAAAACCAGGTCTAAAACCAGGTCTAAAACCAGGTCTAAACTAGGACTAAACCAGGACTAAAACCAGGTCTAAAACCAGGTCCAAACCAGGTCTAAAACCAGGTCTAAAACCATGTCTAAACTAGGACTAAACCAGGACTTAAACCAGGTCTAAAACCAGGTCCAAACCAGGTCTAAAACCAGGTCCAAACCAGGTCTAAAACCAGGTCTAAAACCAGGACTAAACCAGGTCCAAACCAGGTCTAAAACCAGGTCTAAAACCAGGTCCAAACCAGGTCTAAACTAGGACTAAACCAGGACTTAAAACCAGGTCTAAAACCAGGTCCAAACCAGGTCTAAAACCAGGTCTAAAACCATGTCTAAACTAGGACTAAACCAGGACTTAAAACCAGGTCTAAAAACCAGGTCCAAACCAGGTCTAAAACCAGGTCTAAACCAGGACTAAACCAGGTCCAAACCAGGTCTAAAACCAGGTCCAAACCAGGTCTAAAACCAAATCTAAACCAGGACTAAACCAGGTCTAAAACGAGGTCCAAACTACATCTCAAACAGGACTTAACAGGACTAAATCCTGCTGTGTGGACGTGTCTCCTCTTCTTCTATCAATAATATTTTTAATTTGGTTCAGTAAAGTTTGGGCTTTTTATTTTCTTTTATCAGACAAAACTTCTTATGTTACGATATCTTAGTCTTTGTTTCTCTACAGCAAATCAAGTAATCCAAAGTAATCAGATTACATTACTCACTTTAAGTAACTTTATGGATTCCGATACAAACTACATTTTGGTGTAAGTAATCTGTAATCTGTAGGGGATTACATTTTAAAAGTCACCTTCCCAACACTGATTATGTCTGGGTTGTTCCTTGTCGGCGTCCAAGGGGGAAAGAGTTAAATATTACAGAATGTTGTGATAAACCGTCTGGACCTCGCTGTTTGTTGTCGTTTCTTCAGATCTGCTTCCACATGGGCAGCCCCGCCGACCCGGACCACAGGGACAGACAGACCGACCGCTCAGACGTGGACATCCTCAGCCGATACGTGACCCGCTGTGTCCCGGGACTGGAGCCAGAGCCGGCCATCGTGGAGAGCTGCCTGTACACGGTAAAGACCATATGTACACACCATATGAATTTAATGTCTCTGATCTGGGCAAGATTCTAAAACTTACATCAGGTTATTCATCTTGTTTTCAGATTTATTATCCACTTATTAGTTCTGAGATGCTTAATTCTAGTCTAGAGGTTGTTTATTAGGGTTAGATAGATAATTTCACAACTTTTAAGTCATTTTCTGATATATTTAAGTGTTTATATCTTGCATTTTGGCCAAGTTTTTTTACAATGGGTCTGGTCAAGCAGAAGTAAACAACAAGGCCAAAAATTCAAGTTAATGCATCTGATATAAAAATGTATTGAACAGATACATATGTACTCTAGTTTATGAAACTGTTTACCTTTTTTCTGTACCATTTTTGGTTCTAAAGTTCCATACGTTTTTTTTAAACAGACCATGTATGAAACATGGAACAAAAATTATTTCCCAAATTTCAAAGACCTGAAAATCATGTAAATAAATGGATGTATTTCATCATATCTTGTGTTATTCCATCTTTGAACTGTTGATGAAGGTACATGATTTAAAAAAACATTTATTTAAAATGATAAAAATTTGCTTGGAAGGACTGACATATTTTATAGAAATAGTTTCCTTTCATTTTGAAGTAATATTAAAGTATTCAGAAGAAAAAAGTGACAAATGATGTAAAATCCTGCACCTTCTACTTGTTTGCACAATTTTCCCTCCGTTACTTTTCCCTCCGTTACCATGAACTTTCTTAATAAAAAATCTCATGAGTCAAAAAGTAAGAGGTTTTTCAACCTAATCTTGTACCATATGGTAGAAAACTATATGAAGCAAATATTCAAACCAGTTTGTTAAGGATATGTAAGTGAGAACCAAGAGTTATCACTGTTTGGATTTATTGCCCAAAAAGTGCTGCATATTTCATTCCCTCCGTTACCGACATGAGTTTTTAAATTTTTTGTCAACAACTTGAAAGAATATCACAGGTTTAACTTGACCCTGTTGGAGTGTAACTCTTTCCTACATTCTGATACTTTACTTATTTCAATAGTTCCTCTAGTTTCTGAATAAGAGACATTTGAATGTCAAAAATCTACCCCTGTTTCCCTCCGTTACTGCTTGACCAGACCCCTATTTATAATTCTATGCATTTGTGTAGTAAAATATGAATAGTCTTCGAGATAATCACTAATTATAACAGTTCCTTTCTCTTTCAGTGTATGCTCAGTGGGACATTGTTTGTGGCGTTCACGGTGACTCTGGGCTTTGTTCAGTTGTGGCGTGTAGGGAGGTGCTGTCTGGGACCAACGGATTGTCGGCGTGTTCGCGGTGACTCAGTTGTTCAGTCGTGTCTAGAAGCGGCACATTGCACTCGCTTTTGCGTTCGTTCCTCCGTTCCGTTCCTCGTCGGCGTGGAGTGACGAGTGTGTCTGTGGGTGTTTTTCGCTGTGCAGTATAGGGCGCTCTGGATTGTGGGGTGCGCAGTAGTTTTTTGATAGGGTTGGAGGCTTAAGAGCACGTCTAAGGCTGTGTTCAGACTGCAGGGCTTAATGCTCAATTCAGATTTTTTCATGAAATCTGATGTTTTTGCGAGGTCGTTCACATTTCCAATTAAATGTGACTTGTATGTGACTCCAGTGTGAACATTAAACGGCCCAAAAGTGTCCCACATGTGACACTGGAGACACGACGACGTCAACCGCAGCGAGCGTCTCTGTGTTTACGGAAGTTGTCCAAACATGGACGCAGCATCGAGCACCTGGAGATTTTAAAGTTCCTCTCGTACCGGAGCCAGAACATGAACAACTTACTTGTTTTAAGGAGGAGATTGAGAAGGAGAAGGACGAGGTTTTTGGTCGTGGTGTTTTGTGGGGCAGCGGCAGCGACGTCCGTTGAAAGGAACGTGTGGATGTGGAGACGGAGCCAAGAGTGGTGAGTGGTGATGTGCTTCACTTCAGTGACACAGAGTTCATTAACAATTTTCACCTACTTCAGCGCAGAATAGTGACGTTTGTGTCTTGTTGATAACGTGTAGGTGGATGAATGCACTTTGGCCGTTCACACTGAAGTCACATGTCAAAAGATCAGATATGTATCAGTTTCAGGAGCACATATCCAAGTGTCCTGGGTCACATTTGAAAAAATCGGATCTGTGTCGTTCAGACTGTCAATAAAAGATCAGATACAGGAACATAGAGGCCAAAAAATCAGATTTGGGTCACTTCAGGCAGCTCGAAATGAGTTTCCTCCGCAGGGTGGCTGGGTGCTCCCTTAGAGACAGGATGAGGAGCTCAGTCACACGGGAGGAGCTCGGAGTAGAGCCGCTGCTCCTCCACGTCGAGAGGAGCCAGTTGAGGCTCGGGTATCTGTTCCGGATGCCTCCTGGGCGCCTCCCTCGGGAGGTGTTCCGGGCATGTCCCGCCGGGAGGAAGCCCGGGGAAGACCCAGGACACGCTGGAGGGACTATGTCTCTGGGCTGGCCTGGGAACACCTCGGGGTCCCCCTGGAGGAGCTGGAGGACGTGTCTGGGGTGAAGGAAGTCTGGGAGTCCCTGCTTAGGCTGCTGCCCCCACGACCCGGCCCCGGATAAGCGGACGAAAATGGATGGATGGATGGATGGGTCACTTCAGGCTGCAGTCTGAACGTACCCTACTAGTCCAGAAAATACAGTAATACATAAGGCGCACTATCGATTTTTGAGAAAATTATAGGATTTTAAGTGCACATTATAGTCCAAAAATTATGGTAAGTAGATAATAAATCTGAAAACAAGATGAATAACCTGATATAAATCTGCAGTGTTGCAGTGTTCGCCACATGATGAGTAATTTGCACACTGTGCCCACTCTGCTTCACACTTATCATTTAAAAAAGTGGAACTATCTGATGACTGTAATGAACGAGCCTCGTATCAGCTCCCTTACACTTTCGACGGCTCCTCTCCGGTCCCGTTTGACCATCTGACTTCGCCGCACGCAGAAGACTTTAAAGGCCCCGTCTGCGGCTCCTCGATGGGGCTCCGCTCTTCATCATTATCCATTAGTTTCAAGGGCACAGCTTCACACAGCTCCTCCGCAGCCCTGGGTCTGCGCGCTCACTGGGACCGTGGGTTTCTATGTGTTTCACGGTGTTTCTGCGCGATAAAAAAGGGAATTAGACTCTGTGAATGAGGACGAACTGAAAGGAGCTGTACTGTGAGAAATCAGAGCGTATGTTTGATTTAAAGAGGGGGTATTTTATTTCTATAGGGTATTAACTGTTACCTTTTATTGTTTTGAAAATGTTATATTTCCCCAAAACAATGCATTAACATGTTTTATACATCTGACTTTCGTTTTTGGCGGTCTGGTGCTGCGTTCTCTTGCGCTCGGGACCGAAAACCAACTTCCACCTCGAGAACGTGCAATGGAACAGACAATCACATCGGGTTTTTTTTTTTTTTTTTTTAACCTTTATTTTACCAGGCAAAACATTAAGAACAAATTCTTATTTACAATGTTGGCCTGGGCATGTCAAAGCAGCCAAGGGAAGGGGAAGGGGAGTTAAAACAATTAGACAACCAACATCATTCATTAAAAACATAAAACAACCATTTACATCAATCTCCTTTCGTTTCATTAGTAAAACGTTTACATGTCTTTAAGAATTACCTTGAGTTTACATTTAAAAGCAGAAAGAGAAATGAAGGAGTCCAGTTTAAGTGAGCTTTGAGCCAAATTCCAATCATTAGCAGCGGCGCATCGAAATGACATGAAGCCAAGAGACGACCTGGACTTAGGAACTTTCAGTTTGATGAGCTGTGAGGACCGAGTGTTGTATCTGGAGTTCGAGCAGCTGACATAGGCTGCGTTCAGACTGCAGCCTGAAGCGACCCAAATCCGTTTTTTTGGCTTCTATGTTCCTGTATCTGATCTTTTAATGTCAGTCTGAACGACACAGATCAGATTTTTTTCAAATGTGACCCAGGACACTTGGATATGTGCTCCTGAAACCGATACATATCTGATCTTTTGACATGTGACTTCAGTCTGAACGGCCAAAGTGCATTCATCCACCTACACGTTATCAACAAGACACAAACGTCACTATTCTGCGCTGAAGTAGGCGAAAATTGTTAATGAACTCTGTGTGACTGAAGTGAAGCACATCACCACTCACCACTCTTGGCTCCGTCTCCACATCCACACGTTCCTTTCAACGGACGTCGCTGCCGCTGCCCCACAAAACACCACGACCAAAAACCTCGTCCTTCTCCTTCTCAATCTCCTCCTTAAAACAAGTATCGTATTTTCCGAGCTATTAGTCGCTCTGGATTATAAGACGCACTGTCATTAAATGGTCTATTTTTGAACTTTTTTCACAAATAAACCACACCGGACTTTAAAGGAAACACAACAGTGTGATGGGTGAGTGGTTTTGTTTGTTTGTGGCGTTCACTGTGACTCTGGGCTTTGTTCAGTTGTGGCGTGTAGGGACCCGCTGGATTGTCGGCGTGTTCGCAGTGACTCAGTTGTTCAGTCGTGTCTAGAAGTGGCACATTGGACTCGCTTTTTCGGTTCGTTCCTCCGTTCCGTTCCTCGTCCTCGTGGAGTGACGAGTGTGTCTGTGGGTGTTTTTCGCCGCGCAGTCGCTGTCTGCTCCGTGTGTGTTTGCGTGTTCTGTGGGTGGAGCGGTTTTGTTGTTTACTGAAGTCGTTTTGGGACACTCGAGTGGATTCGTGTATAGGGCGCTCTGGATGGTGGGGCGCGCATTCGTTTTTTGATGCGGTTAGAGGCTTAAGAGCGCGGCTAATTGCCCGGAAAATACGGTAAGTTGTTCATGTTCTGGCTCCAGTATGAGAGGAACTTTAAAATCTCCAGGTGCTCGATGCATGTTTGGACAACTTCCGTAAACACAGAGACGCTCGCTGCGGTTGACGTCGTCGTGTCTCCAGTGTCACATGTGGGACACTTTCGGGCCGTTTAATGTTCACACTGGAGTCACATACAAGTCGCATTTAATTGGAAATGTGAACGACC